GCCCCCGGGGCGGGGGCCCCCCCCTCGGAGGAGGGGGCAGGCCGTCATGTTCCCCCACACCCTTCCCAGCTGCCGCCGGCTTTGGGGCCCTGGTGGGGAGCAGGGGGCTGATTAGCCGAGGAGCAGGGGTGTGGCCAGCGGGGCCCCGGGTAGTGAGTCACACAGGCCGCTCGCCCAGTCCTGGGGCCGAGCGCGGTCCCAGCCCGAGCTGCGCGCAGCCTGGCCTGAAGAGTGTCCCTGGGCTTGGCATGAGGACCCCGGGGTGCCGAGGGAGGGGCTGAAGCCCACGCGGTGGTGGAGGGCGGTAAGGACTGGACTGGAGAGTCCCGTGTCCCGTGTCCCGAGTCCTGACTCCCAGTGACAGAGTGGGTGGGGCTTGGAGTCAGGGCTCTGGCCCTAGCCGGCCCCTGGCAGCGCCCCGTTCCGCCTGTACCTGTTCTGGGCTGGCACAGGGGCCTGGCCTCTGGCGGCTGAAGGGCTGCGTCCCCAGGCCCTGAGGGCCCATTCATCTGCACCCCCTCCCGGCCCCCGCTGGCTTGGAGTTGCTCCCTCTTAGCTCCCCTTTGCAGCTTTATGCTCAGGCTCCTGTGGGTTCCACTTGCCCTTTGCCCTTTGGTCTTGGGGTACAGGCTGTGCTTCCCGGCCATGCCTCCTGGACCGGGCTGCCCCCACCCCTGACCCCATGGGGCTGGTGGCTCCAGTCATCCCCAGGACCAGCCTGGGATAGAAATGGCATTTCCTCTTGGCCAGGCTACAGCTGTTTTTGTTGTCTGTGTTCTCAAGCGCTTCCTCTGGGGATGGCAGGGAGGGTAACCAGACTCCATGGGACCCCTGCTTGCCCTCTCCGCCACTCACCCCTCTTCCCCTGTCTCTTTGATCCTCTTCCTGTGCTGGCCCCGCCTCCCCTCCCCAGGACAGGATGACTGAGAGCATGAAGGAGTGCTCCGCGCAGAGGAAGGCGGCCGTGGGGGACATGGTGACCGCTGTGAAGACAGAGGTCTGCTCGCCACTCGGGGACCAGGAGTATGGCCAGCCCTGGTGAGGCCACATGTGGGGACTGGAGAGGAGCGGGGTGGCTGGTCTGGGTGGGTTGGGGACCCTGGGGAAAGTTCCCACACCCCACCACCTCCTTGCACCCTGCACGCAGCAGCTCCTGGGATACAGGCTGTAGGAAGACCCAAGCAGTGGCCCAGGGAGTCCTGGACCCATGCGTGTCTCAGGACTCCAGTCTCCCACACTCCCAACTGGGCAGCCGCTAGCCTGGCTCCTCCTCTCACCCTGCTTAGCTCCCCGCCTCCGAGGCCGGCCCCAGTGCCCCTCTCCACTGGGCTTACTCTCCGATGGCTTATTTGCTTTCTTTACTGGTCCCCATCTTGGCCAGCTCTAGGAGACCAGACCCCTCCGCCATGGAAGTTGAGCCCAAGAAGCTGAAGGGGAAACGTGACCTCCTCATGCCCAAAAGCTTCCAGCAAGTGGACTTCTGGTGTAAGTGAGCTTGAGGCTCTGGGCTACCCCCCACCACCCCCAAGCCCACCTTCCCCAGGGAGGGGAATGCAGGAATCGCACTGACAGACGCTCACCTCTGATGACCAGGCCCAAACCGGGCCTCAGTGGCGCTCTTCAGTAGCCATTAAGGTGGCTGTGGATGGCCCCATTTTCCAGGTGAGGGTACTGAGGCTGGGTGAGGGTTTAGTGCCCCGCCTGGTCCTGTAGCCCACAGACATGCAGCTGCAGCTCCAACCCAGACCCCGGGACTCCAAAGCCTGGATGTTTTTCTACTTTTTCACGAGCCTGAGGCAAGGTCTCACTGGCTTCCTTGGTGCTGGCAGGAGTGTTCTTGGCGCCACCAGGAGGGTAACCGGCTATTGCTGATGACCCGGGGGTCTGCGCTGGCTGGGGAGAGCGAGGGATGAAACACCCAGGGCTCATGCAGTCTGTGCTCTGCCCCAAGCTGTCCACGGGCAGGCCTCCTGTAGCCTCCCAGCCTCCGCCATGGAGGTCCTGCCTCTCTCAGCAACTGAGGCCCACCCTCCTCTCTCCACCCCTCCAGTCTGCGAGTCCTGCCAGGAGTACTTTGTGGATGAGTGCCCGAACCATGGGCCCCCGGTATTCGTGTCTGACACACCGGTGCCCGTGGGCATCCCAGAACGGGCAGCCCTCACCATCCCACAGGGCATGGAGGTGGTCAAGGAAGCCAGCGGAGAGAGCGACGTGCGATGCATCAACGAGGTCATCCCCAAAGGCCACATCTTCGGTCCCTATGAGGGGCAGATCTCCGCGCAGGACAAATCAGCGGGCTTCTTCTCGTGGCTGGTGAGTGCGCCCTGGGCCCTGCCCTGGGAGTGGGCGCCAAGCACATGGAAGGAGACCAGCAGGGGGAGCCAGACACCGGGCTCAGGCTGGCTGAGAGCCTTTCTGCCTGAGCCTCTGGATGGCTGGATGATAGCTCTTGCTGTCCCCTTGTCCTGGCTGAATGGCCATGATCCTCCATGTCCAAGGGCCATGCTGAGGGAGCCCATCCGGCAGTGGTCAGCAGGTCAGCAAGTCCCAGGCAGAGCTCAGCGATTTTCCCCAGGAATCCTCATGACTGGCCAGTGGGAAGAGAAACTGGGGTAGGGGGTCCGGTGGGCCAAGCAATGGCTTTCTAATTGGTTACCCAGCCCCTCCTCCAGAGCAGGTGACTTGGAGCAGGAGGCTGCAGACATGCAGAGGACAATTACCTGGAAAAGCAGCAGCGGGGCCAGCACGTGGCAAGGGACGAAGGCGCTGGATCCCACATGGCTGCCTCTGTGGTTGGAGTCCTGGACCTGGCAGCTTGAAAAACATGCCGGGTGCATGTGCGTGCACGCCCCAAATCCCGAGAGAATGGAGGAGAACAGATTCATGACCATCTCCTCTGAGGGATGCGTTCTCACTCTCCCTCTCTCTGTCTCTCTCTGGCAAGCACATGTGCCCTATGGCAAAAAGCAAAAACAAAACAAAACAAAAAGCAAAGCGTCAGAGCCAGGTCCTAGGCCGGGTGCTGGAGGCGGTCTTCAGCGGGGCAGCCGTGGTCCCTGCCCTCAGGGAGCAGACAGTCTGGTGGGAAGACTTTGAGCACGTCTGTATGCATGATCAGAGGCTTGGGGGGGGTATGGGAGCCTGGGGACACAGCACCGAGGGACATGGCAGTGTCCATGACCTGAGAATTTGGGGGCGGCGCCCCAGTTCATGATGTCGCCAGCTCTGCTCTTTGCTGTGTCTGTGACCTTGGGTGGGCCATTCGCTTCTCCGTGCCTGTTTTGCCAGAGGAAGGTGAAGTCAGTCAGTATCGTCAGGAGCCTCGACGTGCTTGCACTTAGCACAGTGACCCTCAGCCTCCGTCACTGTTAGCTCAGCAAAGCTGGTCAGGAAACGTTTCCGTATCCCAAGTCTGGAAGAACGGGTCGCAGTTAGTCTCGGAGGGTGATGGGAAATGCTCCTTCAGACAGCGGCGCCGAGGGACAGCTCAGAGAGGCTGCTGCGGTGGGCCCACAGGCAGGGTGGCCAGACAGGGAGAGAGGAAGGCAGGGGCCAGGCTAAGTGCACCTCCATGCCGAGGGCCGGGGAGCCACAGAGGTGTGCCTGCGGGGTGTGCCTGTGCCAGGCTGCAGCGTGGAAATCGGGGTCCCAGGGAGGAGGCTGGGGCTGGGGCTCAGCTGAGAAAAGATGGCGGCCAGAGCTAGGTGCTGCAGGTGAGCAAATCTGACAGAGAGGTAGGAGGAAACGTTCCTATTCCCATTCTTTTTTTAAAAATTGTTATTATTTTATTTCATGTTTTTTTTTTTTTTTTAACCAGGGTGTGTGTGTGTGTGTGTGTGTGTGTGTGTGTGTGCGCGCACTGGAGAAAGGCAGAAAGAGATAATGAGAGAGAAAGTGAGAAATCCACCCCCAGGGGGAATGGCCATCCCACACCCCTCTCCTCCGTTTTCTTCCTGGGATTTTGGGTGCACACACACATGCACCTGGTCTGATTTTCAAGCTGCTGGGTCAGCTATGTGGGAGCCCAGCACCTTAACCACCACACCACCTGCTGGTCTCCCTATTCCCATTCTTATTGATGAATGAGATGAAAAGATGAGGAGGAAGGTTTTGAGGGGGGTTAGATACTTTTGCTATAGGGCACATGTGCTTGCTGGAGGGACAGAGAGACAGCAAGAAATCACCCCTCGGGGGGATGGCCACGCCGCAATACCTTCTCCATTCTCCTCCCAGAATTTTGGGCACACATGTATATATTGCTGCGTGAATTTCAAGCTGCCGTGTCCAGTCCTCGATCCACAGTTGGCCATGTAGGAGTCCAGCACCTTAACCACTACGTCACCTTCTGACCATGAGGAAGAAGAGCTTTAAGAATGGGAAGCCGAGGGGTTGTGATGGATGTGTAGGAAGAGTGGTACTGGTTACACAAACCTTCTGCAGCGTCTCCTTTGTGCTGGACACTGGGCTGGCCTGGGGAGTCAGCAGGGGCCAAAGCAGACACCAGGTCCTCATTTCGGAATTCACCGTGGGGAGATGGACTTGATCTAAGGTGACCCAGAGCGGGTGAGGCTGGGAGGAAGTAAACCACCGAGGGAAATGATGTGGCCAGAGGTCAGAGAAGGTTTCCTGATGGCCGGGTGATGATGAGGGAAGGGGGTGCCCAAGGGAAGCTTGGTGAGGGCCACCAGATGGGTGGGACACACGAGCAAAGGCCCTGTGGCAGGAGAGAGCGTGGCTCATCCGAGCACCTGGAAGACCGATGTTTCTGGAAGGCAGCAGGCATGGGGACCTGCAGGAGGGGACGCAGGCTCGCCCGTGGGGGGCACTGCCGGCCAGAGCCGGACTATTGATCTGTAGGAACAGTGAGCAGCTTCAGGTGGTTGGGGCTGGCGGAGAGGCAGTGGCAGGCTCAGATTACTGAGTGACTGCTAGACTGCCGGAAGGCGCGCGCTTGTGAAGGGAGAGGAGGAAGCACCCTCCGGAGGGCGCGGTCACGCCGCAGTGCCTCCTCCAGGCTCCATCCTGCCCGCATTCGCGGCACACACGCACACACACCCTCTGCTTTCCAAGCCACCGGGGCCGGGGTTTGAAATGCAGCGAATCATGTGGGCTCTGGCCCCCTTCACTGCCGCACTGCGGAGCCAGCCTCAGTTCCGTTTCAGGCTGTGACACCGGCCCCACCTGGAGAGCTGACCGGGCAGAGGCCCTTGGTCACGCATGGATGCGTGCACCCCGTGTCCCAGCTAGAGCACCGTGCCGGTTCTCTAAGTCAGCTAGGGTGGGGACAGACATGGAGAGGAGTGAGCTGGTTTGTGAGCGACATTGGAGACTGGAGCGCTGGCTTGGGAGCACATGAGGAGGCCGTCCTGAGGGAAGTGTCCTGCAACCGTCCCCTCCCAACAGGGTGGTGATGGTGCGTGTCTCTGAGGCACGGACAGTGCTGGCAGGGGCTGGTTGAGGGAAGGTCATGATTCGGGTTTTGGATTTGGAGAGTTTGCAGTGACGGCGAGATACCCAAGTGGTGATACTAGGTGGGCAGCTGAATATCTGGGTTTGGAGCTTAGAGGGGTTTGGGCAGCCAGTGGGCTGGGGTGTGGAGGGCACCTGGGGGGAGCACGCTGAGAGGGGGCAGCTTCCAGGAGCCTCAGCAGTTCATGGTCCCCGAGGGGAGCTTGATCCTGCAAAGGAGGCAGAGAAAGAGCAGCCCACGAGGTAGGAGGAAAACCAGGTGAGGGGGAGAAGATGTTGGCTGCCAGGTCGTGGCAGCCAACAGCGTCAAATTTTGCTGCAAGGCCAAGCGAGAGAAGAGCTGAGAAGTGCCCCCTGGCTTAGTGCCAGGGCATTACTGTGACTTTAGTAAGATGTCACTGTAACAGGGGTCTCCACCTGGGGCGGTGTTGCTGCGCTCCCGCCGGCCCGACTCACCCTGGGCTTTGGCAAAGTCTAGAGACATCTTGGCTGTCACAGCTCGGGGTGCAGGTATGCGACTGGCACTAGGAGGTGGGAGCCAGGGACAGTGCGCAGGTGACATGCCTGGGATGGCCTTCACAGTGAGGCGTTATCTGCAGAGACCCTGCAGGGGAGCCATGGTGTGGGAACCAGATTAGCATGCAGGTGACCCACAGCCACTTCTCAGAAGTTGGGTTAGAGATCAGAAGTGGAGGAGAGATAAGAGCGGTGGGGTGGTGGCCGGAGGAAGCCCTGGGTCAAGGCAGTCACTGATTATAGAGACTTGGGCATCCTTAAAGAGCCACGGGGGAGGCCAGGCGGAGGCATGACAGTAAATTGCAACTCTGCAAGACTGACTCACATGGGAAGGTTCTGGGTTCAAGTCTGGAGACCTCTGTGTGTGCAGAGGATACATGCATGCCCATGTTTCAGGGCTGGGGGTGGAGCTGGAGCCTGCAAAAGCTAGGGATGCATCATGGCGTCCAGGCCTTTATGGGGGTATTGTCTCCCGTCTGTTTCTCTCACTCATGGAAGAAATACTGGGTCGTCAGAAAAGTCATGACGCCTTTTTGCATAGAGAGTCATAAAAAATACATCATGATTTTCTCATGAACCACTAAGTGAATCAACTAGTGCTCAAGGAGTAAATCTGTCAATGAACTAGCTTTCACAAAAGCCAGTGGGAGGAGCCGTGCTAGTTCTGCCGAAGCTCTGGCTAAATGTGTGGCTAAGGCGTAAGTGATAAGCTTGCACACCCACCGAAGGCCCCAAGGCCCCCGGAGAGACAGTGGACAGGGAAAGGGGCCGCTCAGCGTCTTTTCTGTGACAGGGAGGACGCTGTGAGCTCCCACAGCTTTCTGTTCAGAATGGGAGAAGTGCCCCGGGGGCCCCTGAGCAGGCCGTGTCTGGGCACCGACGCTGGCCAGATTTCCCGGGGTCCTCATGAAGAGGACGCCGTGCTGGAACTGCTTACCCTGTGCCCGCCGGGCTCCTCCCGTCCTGGGGAGAAGCAGACGTGGGAGGGTGTTTTAGGGTCTCGTTTTGGCATCCCCCGTAAAATGGGGCTTGCTTTTAAAACTTGAAATGTGGCTTGCAGAAGTTTGGGGCACACACACCAGAACAGAGTCTGAGAGACCCCAAGTACCTGGGCTGTCGGGCAGTGGTGGCAGGTGGCACGGTGCAGCCAGATGTGGGGGGACAGGCAGGTTTACCGTGCTGGGGGGACGCGAGAAGTGGCGCGTGGCGGGTGTGTTGGGTGGAAAGAAGCACCTTTGCGGCAGGTGGGGCGCCGTGTGTACTGCATGAGCGAGGGCTGCCCGTGCCGGCTTATTTCCGGGGTGGGGGTTAGTTTAGTTATTTCTTCC